AGAAGAAGAAGAAGAAGAAGAAGAAGAAGAAGAAGAAGAAGAAGAAGAAGAAGAAGAAGAAGAAGAAGAAGAAGAAGAAGAAGAAGAAGAAGAAGAAGAAGAAGAAGAAGAAGAAGAAGCATTGAGCTCATAGAATGGCCTCTTTCAGGGTTGGTCCTACTATTAAGGCAAAGTAAGACAACTGTCTCATGGGGTAGATGCTGGGGCTGCAGCACCACCAGTCCCCTGACTAGTCTTCCTGAACCTCCTGGCCATTCTCAACTCTCTTGAAGTTTGGAAGGAAGGCTGCACCGACCTGGCCTGTTGCCCTCGTGATGGCGGACATTGCACCAGCTCCGGTACTAAATTCAGTACTACTTGTAGTCATCCCATTCCTAGCCCAAATGGGAAGAAGCAGACTGAGTCTGTCCTCTCTCATTGCCATTCCTTTTCTATGTTCATGCCCCTGTGTTCCCACTACAACATAAGAATGGATTGGAAGACGGGGGGAGTCCCAAGATGAAAAGGAAAACACAGCATGGTAACAAATAATTTTTATTAGCCATTCTCAACCTCTTTTTGGCCATGGCTATAAGCACAATATGAAAGAAATACAGGCTGAATTTGGATTGTGTAATATGTGTAATGAACCTTATAAGGTGGTGTTTGTGAAGAATATGGCCCCTAGTTAAGAATGACTGAAATAACAGTTTGATCTCCCCATCACAAAATCTTTATGTATTTACTTTTGGTCTTAATTATTATTGAACAGAAACATTGTTTTAAAAAGTATGATCAAGGCAAAATTAGAAATGTTTGGGGGAAAAAACACATTACCTGGGCCTAGCCTCATGATCTTGGGAACCAATCCTTTGTATAAAGCTAGAAATCTGTAGCAAAAGAATGAAGCATGTTTTTATTTTACGAGGATAAACAATGAGTTCTATTTCTTCTATTGCTGGGACAATGCATGCAAAAAGTTACATGAAATAACAAATACATGGAGTCTGGATTTTAACATCTTAGCCCAGGATAAACAGCTGATTAATGTTCAGCTACAATGGCTATGCTGTGATCCTTTCCACTCAAAAACATGACTTTAATTAATGAGACATTTGCAAGATGACTTTTTAAAACAGCAGATGCACTACACATGCAATCATATGGCCAGACATGAATAATATGAGCGTGATTAAGTTCTCATTTCAGCATCTACCAGAGGTTGGAAAAGTTAATTTTTAAATAAGAACTCCTACAATTACTCAGCCACTATGGATACTTATTATTTTTTGAACTACAAGGCTTCAAAATCTTTTGGATGGAAGATATGCATTTGGAATACAGATGTTACTTTTGAGGTATTCTGGGAGTTGTACTCTTGAAAACAACGTTTCGAACATATGCATAAAATTCAAGCTGTTGCTATCATGCTGACCCCAAAAATGAGAAATAATAATATAATCTTAGAACTGCAGAGTTGGAAGGGACCCTATGGCTCATAGGATCCAGCCCCTGTCAAGGAGGCATAGGGGGGAATTGAACTCCCAACCTCTACATCTGCAGACAGATTCCTAAACTGCTGAGCTAAAATACATGCCAAGTAGAGATGGGCACGAACTTTGGTTTGGAGGTTTGTGCTGATTCATATGGGTGGCACCATAGGTGTCACATGTTCCCTTGCCACATGTCACATGCCAAGTAAAAGTTGCAAATCCGTAAGGATAACACATGATATGTTTACTGTATAGCTGATGCTGTATACCTGACAGCCTTGACCTATAACAATCAGTTGAATAGGACAGAGGACCAATCTAGTACAAAAGTATCAACCAAACATATATTTGGATTCTAATCTTCCTATTCAGGCTAGGATGGAATGGCCAACAAAAATGTTCAGATCTACAAAAAGAAAAGAAAGGAAGAGGAAAAAAGGCTAAGAAGATGAACTCCATGGTCTGCATAGATTATAAATCAATCCTGACATGTGGACAATCACAGAGGCTCTTTACAGATTCTAGAGACAGCCATTCCCTTGAGATAACCTACAAACAGGAAACAACCAGTTTCGACCTCAGGATGAGAGCAAAGTAGGATATGCTAATGGGCATTATTAGAATCAGTACAAATTGTTTTGTCTTTTTTGGTCTGTGTTTCAGCCAATTTACACGATTCTAGCTAGATGGGAGTTTGTAACTCCAGTGTGAAAAGAAAAATTAGTGTGTTATATTAGGGGTTTGGAGCTTCTTGACTGGTCAATTAGCTGCTCAGAGAATTGGGACTTCCCCTAACCTCTCAGTCCGCAGAAATTAGTAAGGATAATCAGCTGGTCTGTGAAATGGGGGGGTTAATACAGCTTTGATGAGGGCTTACTTATTTTCATCATTCTCAAATGAAGCAATTAAACAGAGGTGTTTTGCATTTCTTATTGAAGCAAATCTGAAAAAGATCTACATAACCAAAGTGATGTTTTGCTGTAGATGCATTTTAAAACAGACATGCACACATGCACACACACATTTATGCACAAGGTAATAATAACCACATAAATGAAAATCCAGACAGCTCAGATAAAGGAAGACGTTTTTATATAATTGTTATATGTGCATTTCTGAAATGCAGAAACGTTTAAACCATCCTAGTACATAAGCATTTGCAGGGTAGCTTTTATGGGCGTCATCAAATCTGAAATATAACAATGTGGTTTTATGGACTTATATGAACACACCAGAGGCCTGGATATTTATGATTGAAATAAGAATGCTTTACCCTTCTTCTTTATAGACGGTTGCCATAGTTTTAAAGCAGGTCCTGTACTTGATCTCCCCAGGAACCGGCTGGGGTCCCTGAATCCTACTTTTTGCAACATCAAAAGGGATGTTAATAATCGAGGCTATTGTTCCCGAGACAAGCCCAATTCCAAATTTCCTCAGAAACTCCATGTTTGGATCCTAGATAAATAAATAAGCAAAACAAGAAAGAAAGAAAGAAAGAAAGAAAGAAAGAAAGAAAGAAAGAAAGAAAGAAAGAAAGAAAGAAAGAAAGAAAGGAAAGAAAGAACAGAAGCACCTCAATTGGTTAAAGACTATAAAGTAACATGCATTTAATCAAAACGCTTGCACGACACGACACACTCCTGTTATTCTAGCGGAACACATTAGGATTTCCTACACTGGGTCTCATTTTCTTGACAATCCGATTGGCTATGTTTTTACACATGGTCTAAATTGCTGAAGTACACATTTCCTCACACAGGATTTATAAACACAGTTCATAAAGCAAGACTGGTGCGGCATATGGGGATGATTTGTATAATTGGGCTTCACAATGTACTTAGTATTACTGTATCAAAACGGGAGAAATCCAAGCACACTATTAGCTAATTGGCCAGAATATTTTACAAATGACAGCAACTTCCACCATGAAGCCTACTAAAATGCTCATTTGTGTGTTGGACCCCCAAATGCTAAATTAAATAAAGGCTAATCTCAGTCTGCTGCTTTCCCCTCCAGGTTTTTTACATTTAGTTTCACGTGTAGCCGATGCACTATATACTATGGAGCACTGGCTTCCTGCTATTAACAATCCAGCAGCGGTACAATTGCAAAGCAGACTTCAGCGCCTTCCACGTTATAAACAGTAGTAACTCACTAGGCTAATTGGCTGAAGAATTTACAACACATTGTTCCCCAAGCCTCCTATTTTGTCCTGGTTTAAAAAAAGGGAAGAAAGAAAAACAGGTAGAAACTGGTTGTAAAGCCAACCTTGAAACAACATTTTTCTGTATGAATTGAGACAATCCAACTGTGTTCCTATTCCCTCAGACAGCCTTCCTACCCAGGTACTCTCTGGAACATCAAAGTGCCCAATTAGTTTATTTGGAAGTGAACTTTTTCCTTAATAAAGTCTAATCCCATATGTGTGAACAGCCAAGTAAAAGTGCATGCAGAAAGTAAAGACTGTCATAATGAATTTCCTAGTTGGTTTATAATACGACTTTTAAAAAGCCTTACCCTCTGTGCCAGGCAACTAAGAAATGACAATCACCCAAAATGCTGTATGCAGAGCCAACCTCTTAATACAACACAGTTTGAGAAGGTATCTTTGCAAAAATGAATCCATGGAGAAATCTGCACAAATTCTGCATTGTCTATTGTGCTGTGCTCATTAAAAACTCAAGCTTAAAAATTATTTCATTTTGAACGCCCTTTTGGATAGGAAAGCCAGTTTCAGATAGAGGAAAATAAATTTCATCACTTAAATTCATGAGTGACTATTTGGCTATATCTGCGGGGGGGGGGGCAAATGAGGAGAGAGGAATTGAAATTCTTGAGTCAGGCATCCCTCTCACTCTTCAAAAATCTTCCATAGATATATCAGCAAAAGAATTTTTGTTTTCTTGTGCTTTAGTGCCAAACTAGGAAAAGTTACCAGAAGCACTGAACATGTATAAAATGGAGCTGACAGGACTTTTTATTTCAGATCGTAAGAGAAAACAGAATCCCTATTATTAGATATGGGCATCCAAACAGGTATCTGCTCTATGACTTGGTGCCCCTTTCTTTTGCTGTACTAATCCTTGTGAGGGAGGAGCTCCAGATATCACTGTACTCCTAGCCCCAACAAACTGATGGCACAGCCAACTCCAGAAACTCATGTAGTGATCCACAAGCATCAGCAGAACTTCAACAAAAAAGAGGTAAGTTTGAAACTCAACAAAACTTGGCTCCCAGCTCTCAAAAATACAGCGTGCAAAAGGTCAACGAACTCTACCCAGTCACAAGGACCGGGAATCATTACACACAAAAGACCAGCTAATGACACCCATCAATCAGTGACAGATAATCTCTCTTCCTTATCACAATACACCCACAACAAGAAAACTAAGTCTTCACCTAGACTCTAATGGGTAGCCACTTCTTACCACAGATCCTAATCCCTTCTAGTTAGGAATACCTTCCAATTCGCATCCCACCGCTGCCACCAATTGTCACGATTCCACTTGGCCCCTGCTTGTTTCCCCAAACTAGGAGCTCACACTACATGCCCCTCAGTTGCCACCAGTTGATTTCATCAACAATACCTATTATTAATAACCGAGGTCCAAAACATATGTCATTTTAAAAGAACCAAATATAAATTGGTTGTTGTGGTTTTTTCGGGCTCTTTAGCCGTGTTCTGAAGGTTGTTCTTCCTAATGTTTTGCCAGTCTCTGTGGCCGGCATCTTCAGAGGACAGCACTCTGTGCTGCAAATACATCAAATATACAGTGGTGCCTCACATAACGAGCACACCGTTTAACAACGAATCTGCATAGCGATGTGTTTTTTGTGATCATTTTTATGATCGTATTGCGATGTTTTAATAGGCTAAATGATCGCATTGCGATGTTAGGGAAACAGCTGATCGGTGGTTCCAAAATGGCCGCCGGATCAAGAAAATGGCGGCCTGACATCGCATTGCGATGTTAGGGAAACAGCTGATTGGCGGTTCCAAAATGGCCACCGGATCAAGAAAATGGCTGCCCGCAGCGTTTTTGCGCCCTGCCCTCGCTTACCGAGGTGGCGAAAATGGCGGCCGGATGGGGAATCTTCGCTTACCAGTGAGGTTTCCCCCCATAGGAATGCATTAAACAGAGTTTAATGCGTTCCTATGGGACCTTACGTTCCGTTTAGCGATGTTTCCGGATAGCGACGTTTTTCCTGGAACAGATTAACGTCGCTATGCGGGGCACCACTGTAAATTGTTTATTGATACAGGTGTTGACAGAACAAGCAATGTTGTTAACTCTTAAACATTCTCCTTTATCCACTTTCAACCACCACTCTCCCACCCAACCTCCAAATCTCTCTATCTCAAAACCCTATCTCTCCACTCTAAATCCCTATCTAAAACTCCTCCTCCTGCTGCTGAGTCTTATACCTCATGACTTTGCCCCTCTAACACTCCCATTGGTCTGTGGAAATAGCATATGAATATTCATGACCTGGGCAAATGCCACAGTACCCTAATCTGATGTTTTTCTTTTCTTTTTTAACAGAGTAAGAAACTTACGTTGTGGACAGGAATGATGTTCTTCACATTGAAGTAGAATCCAAAATAAATCATATTAAAAACTCCATGACGTCCCAAGGTAGCAGGTAGCCCTTTGTTGAGTCCACTGAGACCAACCCCATCGGACTTAATAATCTGCCGAGCTTTGGCAAACGTGGATGGTTGCTGTATGAAAAAAAAGCAAAATACCAATATATTTTAAAGGAAACCTTAACATCCTTGTTTTTAATTTGATCTTTAATGAAACTGGTTGTGATCATTTTCTAAACTGTAGATATTATTAAGTTTGTTCACTGCATTACACAAGGAGTGAGGAACTGTAGGATAATGCTGCTATGCTTATTTGGGTTAGAAGTTAGGTTAACGAGATGTTAAACTTATAAAGCCCAAAATGGCTTGGGTCCGAGCTAACTCAAGGACAGTGTTTCCTTTTATGAGCTTGTCTGGGTGTTAAGATAATCAGGAGAGACCTTTTTCTCTGTCCCACCACTATCACATGTGCATTTGGTGGGGGCATGAAAGAGGACCTTCTCTGTTGCTGCTCCCAGACTTTGGAACTCCCTCCCACAGGAGGCCCCATCTCTGCTGTCCTGCCACAAGAAAAGACATTTTGCCTCAGGCTAACTTTCCCTCAGTGACTATGGTTTTTAAATGGATTGTTGTGCCTTAATACTTTGAATGAGTTTTTGGTGTTGCTTTGGTTTACTGTTTTTTAGTGTGGTATTTGTTTGATCGTTTTTAGTATTTGTATACTTACTGTTTTTAGCTTTCAGTGTTGTCTTTTAATGATGTGAGCCACCTTGAGTCCTTTTTAAGGAGAAAGGTGGGGTAAAAATATTTTAAATAAATAAATAAATGTTTTCAGTGTGATTCAGGAGGGGCTTGACCTGTTCTCTGAATTTCTCCATTTCATGAGCCATCTAGGTGAGGGAAATGGCTGCCATCATACAGTTACATGAGCACAATTCCTCTACAACAATTTGGAAGGGCCAGAGAAATGTGTTATCAATATATGGTATTAAGGATGTTTCAGTGGTTATCCTGGGCCAGCTGGGTCAAACTAAACCACACACTCAGATGGGAAACTATTTTTTTGCCTCCAGCTCCCTGAATACCCTCTCTGGCACCACACAGTAACTGCGCTATTCTGGGACATGTATGAGCACAATTCCTCTACAACAATTTGGAAATATCCAGAAATATCACTTCTCCCATATGTGGTGGTACAACATTTTGTTAGGTCACAACATTCGATTTGAAGTCTTACGTACTTTATTTACCTGATGTACTTTATTACACTTCTTTGTTTATTTTTATATTAATTTATTTGCTCTAATTTGACCGTTAACTGCCCAGAGTACTGCTTTGCACTAGTTTAATAAATACCTGAATGATCTCTGTAAATCTGGACTATCCATTTTGATTATCCTGACTGGAAGCTCAGCCAATAAATGAATCACAACTGAAAGGAAATGGCTGAGTTTTCTGCTATATAGTAGTACTGTAAGACAGCAGTTGCAAATACTTTCTTCGGTTATCCTTTTACCCCCAGATATATTTCCATTCCTGGGCTAAACATTTAATTGAGCTTTTTCCCTCAGCACTTCCCTTGAGGATCTTCACCCCTCCATCTTGTTTCCAGGGTGTAGAGGGCAGGAAATCAACCCAAGACAGTGCCTCCAAGAACCTCTAAAAGCACTGGCTAAGAGAGCTTCCTTATTTAACTCAACCGCCCCATTCTGTACACAGGGAAGTGAATGAAGGAGAAAGCTACTCTGAGCCTACACTCTCAAGGGTTCCTGGGAACTCCAATGGAGACAAGAAGGATAATTTCCATTCCTGTTTTCTTATGGAGAGAATGAGGAGTGATTCAGCATCAGTCAGGGTGCCCAAAAAATCTTGGAAGGACTGGGTCTGGAGGTGGCAAGATCACACTGCTCTCTCTCTCTCTCTCTCTTTTCTTTTTTTCTTTTACACTGATTTGGAGGAGTGAGCCATCCATTTTTTTGCAATCATTTTAAGGAGCCAGCTGAGTTCTTGTTTGAAACTTCACCAGCTCTTAGCAGTCCCTGCCACCTTTGGTCAACACAGATTACCTTATGGATCCAGGGGGCTCATTTTGCTCTGCAAGGTGAGTGGGTGGGTGGGTATGTGTGTGCAGGAGAGAGAGAGAGAGGTTGGTGAGGAATTTCTGGTGGGCTGAGTTCTAAACTTTGTAGGGCCACATAGGCCTCCAGTTTAGAGGTTCCCTGTCCTGCCTCAGACCATACATAGATCACCATCTGTAGGAAACATGTCACTGGCTGAAATCCTGATCTGCAACTTACATTATTTTGGGGTAATAAAAAAACTCATATTCCCCATCCCATCTCAGAAGTCCAAAAATTCTGATAGTATCCATTCTGCCACTGGGATGATCGTACAGGTGGTGGTGATTTTAGGAAATTGAAGATTCCCTCTTGTCTTAAGCTCCCCCCTCAGTTTCCCTGGGACAAAAGGGAAGGCTTCCATGAGAGCCTCAGAACCTTTGAAAAGAATCCTGAATTTTTTATGTCCGAAAAATTGCCATAGGTGATGATGTCATCAACCTTACATGGCATATGTTACAGAACAGTACTGTATTTTGTCCTTTGTTTCTATGTAGACACTTCAAACCAACCACTGCAAATATTCCAGAATCTTCTTTATTAATCTAGCTAGTATCTATCCAGTCAGGGAGTGGGCATTTTCAGATTGAAGATACTGTGCATCTAATTTGAATGATTAGTTCTAGACACCAAATTTGAGTGACAATTTCTAGAAGCATACATTTTTTTAAAACCTTAGCCTGGGGCAATGTTTTACTGTGGAAGATTGTTTTTAGTAATTCAACTGTTGTAATTTTAGCCTTAAAGCAGAGACTATTTTTCAGGCCAACTGTTTGCTTAATTTTGTTTTTTCACTGATGTTACCTTTGTGTAATCAAATATTAATTAGAAAGGCAAAATGTAGCTTCCGCAAGGACGCTTAAACAGGGAAATGAAGTCAATTTTGACTGCAGCTCTGTAAACAGTACTAATTTCAATATACTTATTTGTTTAATGAGCGTCCATTGTAAAATACCAGCAGAATGACCATCAGAACCAGCCAAATGATCCTGGTAATATCGAACACATCAAGGCAGTGTTTATTCAGGAGAGGTCTCTTTTAATATTTTGTTTCATCCTGATTTACATATGTTTAGCAAGTTCTTAATATTTGTTCTGTAAAAATAAAGTATTTTAAAGTAAGAACACGTGGCTTTAGAAATATTTGCCTGCTGCAGCAGATCTAAACCTAAGGAGTCAAAGTGCAGACACCATTAGACAGTAATTTATCCTGCTGTTCATCCTGCAGTTCTCACTATTGATTTCAATGATTCTTTCATCAACCACATCACCTAATCCCGAGTAGACCCAGTCTATTTCCATGGGCATTCATGTCATTTTGTTTGGATGGCAGAGCTTTTTTTTGGGGGGGGGGTAAGGATAGCGTTTCCACTTGCATTGTTTTGTCCTGCTTTCTAGTTTATGTGTTCACCTATATCAGCCCTTTGGGATAGTGGGGTGAATGTATCTGAATCATAAGAAGGGTAACATCTTCAGTGGGGAAGACTGTGATAGGTTGGTTTTATTTTATTTTTTTTTGTTCAGGCTCCAACCACTAGGACTAACATCTCTTGAAAAGATTTTTTTTTAAAAAAAGTACTAATTTATCATTGCCTCAGGCACATGACCATTTGGGGCATACCTCATTTTTCAGAATAGCATGGAGGAAGGGGCAAAGCTGCTTTCAAAGAGTGCCTCGGACTTGAGGAGATCTCCCCACACCACTTTGCCTTGATCTCTCTCCTAAGACTTCTCTCTGGTCTGTCTCAGCTTTGCTCGGCAACCCTTTCCAAAACATGAAGGGATTGTGTGAATTCACAGATGACCACTTGAAGAACCATGGTTACAGGTAAGTAACCTCTCTTTCTTCATCGTGGTCTTCTGTGAATGCACACAAAAGGTTGATTAGTATGCTTACTCACCGGATGGTGGGCTGTCACTGAAGGACAGACGTCAACACCGCTCTCCCGAAACTGGTCTCCTTCTTAGCCCTCAGGTCTAGTCTATAGTGAGTGATGAAGGTGGAAACATTAGACCAAGTGGCAGTCCTGCAGATGTCAGGCACATCAACGCCACGTAGCAGGGCAGTAGAAGAGGCCATGGCTCTGGTGGAATGAGCCCAAAGTCCTTCAGGTGGAGTCTTACGCTGAAGCTCATGAGCAAGCGAAATCGTGGAGACAATCCATCTGGAGAGCGTTGAAGACTATGCTGGGAGACCCTTCTTTTTCCCAAAGTAGCAGAGGAAAAGTCTATTGGA